AATGGAGACTGGCCGGCAACAAGACTTGCCGTAGAGTGTTCGTCGGAGTGGCCATCTAGCGGCGGTGACGCAAGTACATCGACCTCCTTTACCTACATCGGAAATAGATGGCGCTGCTTTCCTTGTACCTTTTAGGCGCGCGTTTGCTTTATCCCTGTATCTGTAGGTGCGTGTTTAGCCGTGTTTTCTATTGTTTCTAATGAAGCACTGTTTCCTGCTGCTATTGTTTTAACGCGATAGCGTTAGAGAGCTCGTGTTGCACAGAATTCGCCGTCGGCGTCGGGACCATTGGTTGTGAGCAAGAAATTGAAAAAGAAGCAAATAAAATGAAGAATAAAATTTTCGGTTCTCATTGAGCATCGAAGCCGGGCCGTGCGCGGGGCAAGCAGGGGTCCAACCACAAAGCCACTAAGTCACTTGCAGCTGCTTCGAGAAAAAAAAAAAAAAACACTGCATAAATGCCATGTTGTGGAAGCAGTCTCCTGAACGCATTTTGTTCACAGGTGTAACGATGAAACGAGCCCATTCGGCGATTTGTAGACAAATTTGGGAGGCCATCAAACTACGACGAAAAATGCCGGGATAGTGCAGCAATCGCCACTAAAAACACACAGGATCTTTCAAGCAGCTCTAAATATTGACAACTATGTGCATCTAGCAAAAAACATATCATGCCTTTCAGGAGGCGTTGATCAAGCAAACAGCAAACGCTAGATAATGTGCTGCCATCTTTGAGGCATTGTGAGACTCTTTATGGCCTACGACTTGGCAAGCACGCAGCGCATATCTTGGAAGGTCTTGCGAATCTTTCTTTAGATCAAAAACTTGTATGTACTATTCGCACGGGCTAGTGCTATCTAACGTGTGCGTGCGTGTGCACGTGTGTGTGTGCGCACATGTATGTGTGTGTGTGTTGTGTGTGTGTATAATAAAACATATAAATAAGTATGCACATAGCTGTTGAAGGGCGTACCAGGGGCCGGATTTCGCTACCCCGTTCAACTCTTAAAGGCGAAGCTTAAGGGTCCCCCAATTTTTGCATATCTTTGTCGCATTTTTCGCGTAAGGATAAGCCGAACCACACAACCGGCACCTGCTGTGTAAAGAAGGAGGGTGGGGGAATCAGGTGGGACTAACTGTGCTTCAAGAGTGCGGCACACAAAAGTAATGTGACGTTGTTGAGATCTAAATTTGGAACTCGAGTGTAACGTTCATTGGAGCATTATGCAGCGTGGCTAGAGTAAAGTGCAACTGCTAATCAGGGCTTGGTCTTGGGCAGTGGCGTAGCCAGGGGGTGGCACTCTGGGCTTAAGCCATTCCGAATTTTTTTTTTCACCATACATGCCCATTTGCTTCTTCATTTGCCTAAAATAACTGTTCGTCTGCCCGGCCTTCTCTTTAGATCAAGTAGGAACCCCGCCTGAAAAAAAAAACTACGCTGTGTCTGAATGTGCGCCCTCTTCGCAAACGGAGGCTGTGCAACGATTTCAGTGACCTTTGTGCGCCCGGCAACTACAACAAATCGTTCCGGCGAAACCCAAAGGCTGGCCAGGACCGTACAATCCTTATTCTTCACATCGCAAGATAAGGACGCGAGATCAAGCGTACCCCCTCCCCCTCCTTATTCTCTACGCGGGTGAAAAGTACGCGTGACAGATGAGAGCCGCCATGCGCTCACCACGCCATCTTGCTGATAATGCTGAAAACACAATAGTTCCCCCATTCTCCGAGATGCCCGTCAACAGCGGTAAACGGTAGATATAAAGAGCTTGCTGTTTGAACGTTAACGCTTCGCATTCGCGATGCGGGGGTCCCCCGTTCGATTCCGTGTGCAGAAGTGTTTTTTTCGGGAATTGTTTTCTTTGTTGCGTTTTGAAATATATAGATATATATAGATATACGGTGCATGACATCAATGCTTAGCGCCCACGCCGATGCCGGCGGTGAAATACAGCCGAGAGTGTCCATGTAATTGCTATCGCAATAAAAACACTGCGTACAACTGTGGTTTTCAGTGGAAAAGGGGTGGAGGAACGAATACACCTACACCCTGCCGTGCCCTCTCCGTGGCTGAAACCTCCGCATTTGTGTCCATCTTGATGCTGTGTGGGCAGCAAAACCCGAACTGGCAATATTTAAGCTCCCTCAATGCCTAATCCCAAATTGCAAAGTGTAGAAATTACAAAGAGGTAGAAGTCCTTCCTGTCCTTACCAGGTGGCACTGAAACGAGGCCGACATACCCATACCAATAAAATCAGTTGACGTTGTTCCGTTGCTGCATGGAGGTCTCTTGAAGGATTGAGCGAAAGAGGTTGCCTCAACGTATGCAGCACGCAAGACCACTATGTCTTGTCAAAATAGGGAAGCAAGAGAAATTCGCCGAACATGTCACGGATGTAGCAGTTGGGGAGCACTAGAAAAGTTGCAGCAAAGTTTTGCGAATGCAGACCAACGTGAAACCACCGGCGCTTGTGTACACTTAAACATTAGAGTTACAGTTCCCACACAGCTACTTAAGTAGGAAGTTGACCTAGTCTCCTTAAGGCTTTTACTTATAATCTGCAATATAAGTAGTAATTAAGGCATTCAAAATAAATATAAAATTCCAATTTTTCTTGTAGATATTTGACAGATCTTTGACACAACATAAACTGAAACAACTGTAAAATTATCATGGCGATAATTTCTGTAGAAGTGTGTCGTCTGATGACATCAATTATGCTAATGGTCATACAGATCAGCACAGAGAACTTTTCTTGTGAACTGATGGTGTCTCTGCCAGAAAACACGATTGCATAAATATATAATATCCGTAGTAAGCAGTGCAGTTTTTGGTTACCATATGGCTGTGGTTGCATTCAAAGTTAATAATAAAGCATAAAGAATTGTGCACAATCGCATCAGTCGCGTTCACGTGATACTTATGAAGTCGCACTTGTATGCTTCAACAAGTGAATTTGATTTCCGGTCGTGGTAGACATATTAGAAGGGGGCGATATGCAAAGACCATTCGTGTACCTCGCTAGGGGCTTTTTAAATGACCCTAGGCAATCAAAATCAATCAAGTGTTCCCCACAATGGTGTGCCTTAAAATTGCATTTTCGCAAGTGAAACACTTTTCCCTTTTACCGGTAGCGAAAAGGCGTAACGAAGAATAAGGTTACAGTCGATAGAACTTGATAATAACAATGAGGGTGGCGACTTGGGCTTGTTGGTATGGTTGCATGATGATAGATGGTAGCGCAGACAACGAACACGGACAAGAGAAGGCACATAGACACAACACAGCGCTAACTTTCAACAACAGTTTATTACACGCAGATCTCCGTGGTGTATGCGATCCACCACGCCAACGTCGCACGTGCGTAGCTCTAAAAACCATCAAATATAACCAGTAAAGTATTGGAACACGCGCGTTGGTTATATTTGATGGTTTTTAGAGCTACGCACGTGCGACGTTGGCGTGGTGGATCGCATACACCACGGAGATCTGCGTGTAATAAACTGTTGTTGAAAGTTAGCGCTGTGTTGTGTCTATGTGCCTTCTCTTGTCCGTGTTCGTTGTCTGCGCTACCATCTATCATCATTGATAACAACACTTTTGCCCAATTCATTAGAATACAAGCCGAGATCACTGCGCAAGCAATAGAAATTACCACGAATTATTCCGCTTCTACGAATCAAGGCATCATGACCTAAAGGTAAACCACCATCCGTGGCGCTGCAGGAGTATGCCCTTCAGTTGTTGGGAGTGCACTCTACCGCTACTTGCCGAGTTCATCACATCTAGATAGCATATATTGTAGCCAACATTAAATAGCAATGACATGCCTGAAATACACATCCATGCCATGCGTCATTCGTATGTGGAGGTGAGGTACCCTAATGTTTATTGTGTATTGTCTTCGGCTTAAAACTTGTTTGCAAATGCGGGGTTCAACCATGTTTTATTCGTGTGAAGTCCGAACGTAAAGACTAGTTATTCGTAAAAAATGTGAAGAATATGGTTGTAGTGTAGCGGCACTGCTTACTGAAACTTCTTATGTGGAGTTCGCACAGATAAGCCGTCATCCTTGCGGCATCGTTAGAGACGCGTAGTACAGTGCGATGGTGCTTCTTCACACGTAACTATTTCAGCAAAAAACTTTCTTCAGGCTGCTTGCCCTAGTCTTTTATGTCACGGTTTCGACGAGCCAATTCACGATGTGAGTATTAGGAATCTCGTAGTGGAGGGCTATCAAACTTCTGCATAATAGTGTTGATTAACCCTCGTCTAAATCTAATTACACGGGCAACTAGCACTCCATGTCCACCTAAATATTAATTACTAAACTGGCCTGAATTGCACTCGTGTATTTGAGGTCAGCAGTTGGACACCGTATCTAGTAGCCACGGCCAGCCTGCCCGATTTCAGAGTTTTAATTAAGATGTCCACGGCAATGCGGCTCATTTCTACAAGAAAGTGTTATTACCGCTAATATGAATAGGTTCCGCGAGGAGAATCATGGAATATTGTTACCTCTTACAATTCGCTCCACTCAGCCCTAATACACTTACAGCTTTTCAGCAGCTTAACTAGAAAGGCAGTGTTTAACTGGTGTCCGGCCAATTACTATCATAGCAAACACCTAGATTTGTCGCTGCACTTAGTATTGTCGCAGCGCTGCATACATACAGATTCACAATTAGGCAACTATTTGGATGGGCTGTCTAGGACGTTTTTCTAGGGGCCTCCATTGTACTTTTGAAAGTCGCGTCATTCTTCTGAAATGTTTTCTCTCTTTCCAAACAAGGGGTAAGCAACATTTAACATAAAGACTTCTGGATGCGAACATTTTTTTTTCGTGGCTATATTTACAGGCCAGCATTTTCGACATTGAAAATTATTCTTTTTGTCTGAGGTTACACATTACGTCTTATTGCCTGTTAGCAACCTGCAACAATACAATATTTCCAACTCTTAGCCACTCTTTAGTATATAAATGAGCGTATTAGATTAAAAGGTATATTCACAAAAATAATTTATTAAATTATAGTTCTGTTCGTAATGTAGAGCTTTCAGTATCTTTGGTTGCGTCCTTTGTTGTATCCTCCTTAAGGCCAGCCTTGAGAAGAGATTCTATAACGCCCGACAGAGCCGGCTCCAATCCTTCTGCGAGGTTGCCATTCTTCGCTTGCCTGTCCGGACTGAAAATGCTCTTGAGCAATTGAGAAAACATTTTCTCTAGACCTTGTCCCCCTTGCTGGTTTCCCATAAGCGAGCCTAACAGAGACAAGACGCTCGCCTGCGAACCGCTACCCTGGGAACCAAGTAGAGACGGTAGTCCTTGCATGATTAAAGGCGCCAGCTTGGAGAGGTCGAGACCTCCTGCACTTCCGGAAGACGATTCTTTGTCCATTCAACGCACCGAGTCCATCGAGCATGGTCTTGAGACCAGCCATTGGATCAGCGTCAGCTGAATTTCGGGAGGGATGCACCAGCGTTCCCTAGGTTCGAAAGTAGAGATCCAAGAAGGGCAGCCGAGATGTCCGGTTGACCAGCACTGTCCTTGGCATCAGCCTTTGCAGCGGATTCACCGGTTGATGGCGGCACCGCACTATCTGTCTTTTGTGAAAGGGCGGCTACTAGCATTTCTTCTAACGGATGTGCGCGGCCTTGAAGCTGTTTGCTTCGACGAGTAGCTTTGGTATAGTTCGAAGGCTTTGCCGAGAACAGCCATCCAGTCAATCTCGCCTCCTTTTGAGCAGTACTCTGCAATAGAAAAAACAACAACAAAAAACAGCGAAAGGATGAAGATACGATTTTCCCAAATCAAACCACAATACACAATGAAGACAAAATGTATATAATAACGTAGGTAAGATCCGGTGATAGTTCGGATATATGAGAGTTGCTGACTGTGCAAACCATCTTATTTAAAATGGTCACTTTTGTAAATTCCGAAAGTTAAGAACATTTTATATGTGGTTCAATAATTATTAGAATACAAAAATAGTGATACTCTGCTACGAAAATACTCACAGTCAATTATTATAGCACGAGCATGCAGCAAAAATTTACAGTCTGCTTGGTAGCGTCAGGTGCGCGTGCCTCTGAGACAAGTTTCTCCAATCAAGAGCAAGTGAACGTATAACTGATAAGTATGGGATGGCAGGTTTGTGGCGTAAACCCAGTTTTACTTTTAGAGCAGCAGTATGACGAAGCAATGTTTCCTTAAATGAGAGCTTGAATGATTACACCGATGAAACGATAGACGCATTTTCGGTACTTATACCTGTATAGGCGCCCACTTCTTGTTCAAGGCTGGTGGAAATGGCTTGGTTGCATGAAAAGATGCTACAGCGTTGTGTTCGTTAATAGCCCATACCACCGGTCAGTATTCAGCTGCCATAACATGTCACATGATGATTATATGATGCGTCTATACTAGATCGGGGGCGAAACTAAGTGCAGGTGCTCTAAACATAAAAGCGTTCGCGTGTGTCTTTCTTGTTATGTTTTTGTGCGCCATAAAATTCATAATAAGGACCATCAGGTATAGCTGTACACACTGGCAAATGTTTTTTATGCTAAAAGCGTATTTTTATTCTATGAACAGTACCTCAGACATTTACGCCTGATATTCTTGATAATATGTGAAAATAAATATCTTGCAGTAAGCGAAGTTCTGTTCTTTTTTAATAATAACAAGAGCTCAGAAATTACAGAACAAAAGAGTTCGCTACTCCCTTCACGCCTCAATTTTCATTTGTTTTGCGACACTCAGCTGATTACTTCAATTTGATTAAACGTTGAAGAATACAATATTTCAATTTTCTGCCAAAGCGCAGAGAATGATCAGCCAGTACGATTTCACAAACTCAAAGACAGTTTCGGGTGTTTCAGACAAAGCGCCTTCGTGAAAGTTCTAAAAAAACGGAATAAGAGCACCTATGGCAACGCAAGAGAGTTTATCTTTCTGTGTTTCCTCAACATATCAGCATTGCAATTTCCTCGCACAACAGTGCCAGTGCACAGCTACCTCGAGCCAACGGACAAAAATGGGCCGAGGCGTCATTTGATTAGCCAACCACATTTCTACAGACTATATAGCCCAACGCGGTGTCTCACCGAGTAAACAAAGTGATAGGGACCCGGCGTCTTGGAACCACCAACGTAGTCGTGCTCACGTTCCAACACGCAGACATTCCGAGAAATTTATGTGCTCGTTTTCGGAGAAGCTAACACTGTACAACGCTACCGCAAGGCCATCCCAACCTGCTCCAATTGTGGCAAGGTCGGTCACCGTACCGATGTCTGCACTAATCCAACGACAGTCATCCAGCCGGTGCCCAGCATGCGGGAAGGCAGATGTCGAACCTTTCCAACCATGATTGTCTAGCCTGCTGTCTGCTCTGTATCGGCGCTCACATCGCCGGAGCAAGGAAATGTTTCAAGTGCTACCAAAGCCCAGTGGACACACCATCCCGACCAATATCATCGACACGTGGAGACGCATGCGAGCAAACATCCACAAACAACAACGGGGACCGCTCACGCTCAGAACGATGCAGCACCTCCCGAGGCCGCTCAGCTAGAGGGGCTCATCGTGCTTGATCCAGACCTAAATCTCGGTCCAAGTCTCGGTCCAAATCACGTTTTGTTTTATTGAAATAGAAAATAAACGAAGTCACCTTTACTTGGCGACGGCTACCCCTTTCCACCTAATTGGTACAAATAAAAATATGTAAAAAAACAATGACATATATACATATATACAGTCCTACATGGGTGAGAGCAATAGTTCTCTTATATGGGCAGAACAAACACGTAGACGACACGCTCACTTTTAACTTTTGTCCGCTCAGTAGTCGTCAGAAATCTTCGTTTCTTCGAATAAGTGTTGCAGAACCTTCATTGCTTTGCCGTTTGTTTTGGATGGCCATGGACCTAGTATTTTATTCAACCCGAATGGTCGCTCAGGATCTAACCTATGCAGTTCTTGTTCTAGTCGCCTTCGGTGTGTGTCGTGTTTCGGACAGTCGAGCAAGAGGTGACAGATATCCTCATCGTCGTGGCCGCATGAACATGCTGACGATGTTGCACGATGAATACGACGTAGGAAGTGCTTTGTGTAAGCAGTTCCGAGTCGTAGGCGATGAATGAGTGTGTCGATACGTCTTGGAAGGTTACGGTCTGATTGGCATTCAAGATTAGGATCAACAGAATATAGGATCGATTCCTTTGTTTTGTCTGTGAACCAGGTAGACAGGCATAATTCACGTTTTGTTGTTCTTAAAATTCCATTTACATCATATTGAGATACCGGAATGAGGCACGTTTGCGTAGAATTATCAGTGGTTTTCGCCAACTCATCTGCCATTTCATTTGCCGTAATTCCGCAGTGACTGGGAACCCACTGAAATGCCACTCGATGATTCGACTTCGTAGCTTCTGAGAGCTCTTTTAGTATAGCGTATGCTATACGCACATCAATGTGTGTTGAAGTGGCACTTTCCACACATGCCAGTGCTGCCAGAGAGTCTGTAATTACCACCCATTTTCTTGGTGTCATTGACAGTTTAATAAAGCTTATGGCTAGCCGAATCGCTACGAGCTCCGAAGTTGTTGAAGAAGAGAGGTGGCCCAACGGACATGCATATTCTTCGTGCAATTCCGGAATTATGAATGCTGATGTCACTGTCTCTTTGGTGACGGAGCCGTCAGTGTACACGTGAGTGTATCCTTGGTACCTGTAAAACAGATGATGTGATGCCAACTGCTGAGTGGCAACGATTGGCACTTCATGTTCGCTGCAAAGTCCTTTTATTGACGTTTCAATAATTGGTAGCTCAAGCAGCCATGGAGGGTAGTTTTGGTCCAGTGGCCAATGTGTCGGCACAGGAAGCCGGGAAATGTACTGTTGGTACACATGGTGTATGTGCGCTCCAGCATGGTTCACGATGTTGGATATGAGCGGATGGGAAGGGTGTTGTGTGACTAGACGAAAGAGGTGCCGACATGTCTCCACATTTCTAATTACTCTAAAGTTGGGTTCTCTTGCCTCCGCCAGTCTCAAAGAACTTGATGTTGCCTGTGGAACCCCCAGACATATGCGTAAGCTTCGTGCTTGTAACAGCTAAAGTCGGTGTAGCGACGTCTGAGAGATGTTGTGGAGAACTGGCGCAGAGTAGGCAATTTTCCGTCGGATTAGTGCACAATAGACGTGGAAGAGAGACGCTGATGTACCGCCCTTTTTTTGTTCCTGCGATGCGACGTATAACATTTATGGCGCTGTTCACTTGACTTTCTAGATCAGCAATATGCTGACTCCATCTGAGTTGACTATCTAAGATAACGCCAAGGAAGCGATGCTTTCGTGCGATTTCGATTCTCTGGCCATCCTCAAAAAGTTTCAAGTTTTTCACCCATTTTCTCGTAAATGGCAGAACTACAGATTTGGCGTGTTAAATCTGCATGCCTCGCTCTTTGAGGTAATCACTTATTGCTTCTAGTCCTTGTTGAAGCCGATATTCGATCACTTCCAGTGATTTGTGAAACGTCCATATGCATATGTCGTCTGCATACATGGATATGTTGAAGGCTTCGGGCAGTACTTCTGGAAGACCTGCCATTGCAGCATTGAAAAGAAGCGGACTTAGAACGCTTCCTTGGGGTACACTTCTGCTCATGTTGAAGCGATCGCCGTCTCGGTTATTGGTTGAAATGTATATTTGCCTGTTACATAGGAAGTTGGCGATCCATTGAAGGATACGAACGTGAACCCCTAGGGAGGAAAGCCCGTGCAGCACAGAAAGGTGGCTCACAGAGTCGAACGCCTTCTTAATATCTAAGAGCGCCGCAACAGCCATGTTTCCACAGCTCATCTCATGCTCTACAAATGTAACGAGGTCGAAGACGCAGTCCATGGTGCATCGCCGTCGTCTAAAGCCAGCCATCTGTTCTGGAAGTGAGTTGTTAGCTTTAATCCACCACTCTAATCGTCTGTCAACCATTTTTTCCATTACTTTAGATACACAGCTAGTGAGGCTGACTGATCGGAATAAGCTAAGCGAAAGCGGTGATTTACCAGGCTTCAGTAGTGGGACGATTCTCGCGACCTTTCAACGCATTGGAACGTACGTCTTTGCCCACATGTCGTTTTATATCCGTAGAAGAAATGGCAGGCCTTTGGGTCCTAGATTTTTCAGAACACTGTACGATACGTTGTCGGGACCGGTTGCCGCTCTTACGCGGGTTAGTGATAGAGCAGTACGCAACTCTAGTAGAGAATACGTGTTATCCAGTTGAACATGTGATAAAGTGTATGCATCTTGGATTTGCTGCTCTACAGAACTAGGCAGTGAAGGAGTGTTGTGAACCAATTGCCCAGTTCCAGTCAGCATTGTGCAAAACCTATTAGAAACATCACGTTTGGATACTCCAAGAGATATGGCCAATGCTCTGAATGGGTTTCGCTGGGATACTGGATGACTCAGAGCAGTGATTGTTTGTCAGATTTTCAGAAGTGGAGTAAAAGGGGTCAATGAATTGCAGAAATCATGGTATTTTTTCCGACTTAACTTTTGCATGTGTCGGTTAGATTGGATGTGTGTGGCCTGACTTTTTTACAATCTTCAAGCCTCCCAGTGCGGTGATAGCGACGTTCTGCTCGCCTTCTAATAGCTCGTAGGCGCTCATAGTCTGCATCTACACTGGAGTGGCCTGCTGGGACAGCTGTAAACTTTGTCGCACGGGAGTAACTGCTTTTA